AGGGTGGCAAGGGAGACTGCGGCTGGGCCCGGGCTGGGCTGGGCTGGGCTGGGCTGGGGTAGGGTGGTTGCAGCTTTGTGCCACGCTGCTGGGCTGGACTGGGACTGGGCTTTGTGCTGCAGCTCTGGGGCCGCTTCTTGCAATCCCAGAGCTGCGGTGCAGCAAGCCCAGCCCCAGCCTGACCCAGCAGCGCGGTGCAAAGGGGCTTCTTGGTGTGAAGAATTTGGAGTAAAACTCCAGATTTGTAGTGGATGTGGTACTCATAAAGTTCAACTAAGGTAATGTATAAACTAGCCATTTGAATAGTGGCTTTTTTAATAGAATAGTGGAAACCTTCAATAGCGTTATCGGAATAAGGTATTTGATTTGTTACTGAAGGATTTTCATCACATTTTAAAACTTCTAAACCTGGTCAAGCATGATTTCTTATGAACAAATAGTACAGTTTCATGATGTTATTTTTCCTCTCTCTACAGCAAAATAATTCTCCTCTACATTTGGCCATCATAAAAAACAACTTATCAGTGATAAATAGTTTAATAAATGCAAACCGTAACATAAATTCCCTAAATAAGGTAAGAAATTCTTTATTAGAATCATGTGACTTGAAGACTGGAGACAATGTTTTCTTTTGTGTGTGTGTGTGTTTGTATACACACACACACACACATGCTATACTTTTTAAAGAATATGGTACAAAATAACGTGAGCATTATAATTTGATTTATGGCGAGGCTGCCCTTTATAGCACCTTTCTCCAGGCTACTACCTTTACTTCAACTCCCAAATATAAAGTGTATCCAGGAAACCAATACAACCCTCTGAGACAAAATTACCATGGAAATAATCCTTGTATTTTTAACAAAGGTAAAAACAAAATCTCCAGTTCAAGTTCAGCTTCTTAGCTTCTGAGTCTGCCAGGTACTTTTCCTAATTTCCACGTAAGCGCACACAGAGAGCAAACAACAACATTGCCACATTTATTTTTAGAAAAAGTTTGAATAACTTGTTTATTCTGGTTTAAAAACTATTCCAGAATATGTTATGCAGAAATTAATACCTTCATCTGCAAGAGGAAACACTTTTAAAATAATAACAATAATAAAAAAACAATAGGTTTGCATACAGATTTGGAATGAAATTATTGAATCACTAGGACTTCAGTTGATTTAAGTTCATTTGCTACCTAGTATTATTTATTTTATGTTACCATATCTGTAACCTCTCAATTCCAGTGGATTAAGGGCAGGAAACAACAAAGTCAAGTGCAAAAGACAAAAAAGTAAAATCTCAATGTAAACAATTAAAGTAATATCATTAAAAGCCATTAATAAACATAATGGGCACTATTAAAACAAATATAATCTTGTGTAATCTATGGACCAAACGCATCTAGAACAAAACTGTTTTAGCTGGTTTACAAACTGCCAGCAGCATTGGGGCCACCTTTACCTCTGGGGCGGGAGGAGAAAGGGGGCTGCCACTGAGAAAGCTCACTGCCTGGTCCACGTCCCTAAACTTGCAAGGAGGAGAAACTTGCGACAGGCCCTGAGTCAAACCCATTGATTGCCACATTAATTCAATTCTTTGCATAATGTGAATATTAATTTTTGTTACATTTTTTAATGGAAAAGATTTCTGAATAATAATATCCTTTACTTTACATCCACAAGAGACATCAAACGCCTTTACATCTGGCAGCAGACCTTGGAAACGTGGATGTAATAGAAATGCTGCTAAAGGCAGGCTGTGACTTCAGCATTTTAGATAAGGTATTCATAATTCTATTAAAACGCAATTCTCCTACATGTCTTGGTTTGATTTTCAGATGATCCTTATTAAATAGAATTCTTGATTTAAGTTAGCCCTTAAAACTTGCAACTGGTATAATGGAATAAGGTCTGTGAGGTCAGACATAACATTACAGTGGTACCTCTACTTACGAACGCCCCTACATACGAAAATTTCAAGATATGACCAGCTCCGGCACCAAAAATTTACCTCTACTTACGAACTTGCCTTGACTTACGAACCGGATCCGCGGCCATTTTCCCTGCTGCCACGCGGTCGCGGCTTCCTGTGGGCGAGATCGCAGTAGCAAGGAGATGTTCGGTGAGGCTCGTGGTGTGTTTTGTGGTGTTTTGGAAGGT